ATAACAGAGTGGGGTGGGGGTAGAGAAGGAAGAAGACTTTGTTCTGTGGTATTTCTGTGCATAAATATCAAGATAGGAAGGGCACTTTATTAAAAAAAACTGCAATGTTTTGACTCCATTTCGTTATAAAACATCTTGTTTGGCATACTGGAACATTTAGACAGCATTTTCTTCTAATATGGGATGTTGTTCTATCATAATTTTGTTTTGCTTTGCTTTGCTTTTTCCTGTATGTGACAATATCCAACTTTAGACAGTAATTAGACCACTTTTTATTTACTTTTTTAATGTAAGTGTAATCATTATATCTCAAAATCAATTCTTCATTTCTTTCAGTTTCTTGCAAGAAGTTCAAAAATTGTTTCCAAGTAAAAATAAAATTGATCAAAGTTTTTTCTTTCATCAACGCTGCCCATTTCACCATTTATGCCAATTCCTTTAGCTTCATCATTTCTTCTATTGTAAGTATTTGTATGTCCTTCCACCTTTGGCATATAAAAGTCTTGCTACTGTTGTCACATATAAAAACAATGTTCTATAAGGCGTATCTATTGGTTTACCCATTAAATCCAAAAGAAAGACCTCTAGTTTCAATTATGCATTTACTTTTAAAATCTGCATCAGAATACATACTTGATCCTAATATTTTTTAGCTTTGTACCCCCCTCCCAAGACTTGAAATAGGCATTCCAAAATATGCTTTGAATTTATGGTAGGTGATATCCTTTTCAATAATTTGTCACTGAATCTACCTGGTGTAGATTCAAGACAGACTTTGAAATCACTGAGTTTTCCCATATAAATCAAATTTGTCATTCAAAAATGGGAACTGGTAATAAATCTTACAATTTTTATTGAAATGGAACCAAAAGCAATTTGAATTTAAACAGAATAAAGTGTGGAAGGAAAAATCAATTTTGGATGAAGTTCTCAATCAATATTGAGTTCCTTAAATAATTCCCGCAATCCATAAGACAAATGAAATAAAAATATTACACCGCTTCATTAGGTTATTTTTCCTATCCTAAGTAAATTTAACCTGTGTATAGGTATAACTATATAAATATAATATAAATATAAACTATATAAATAATTCTGCAAGTAGCACATCTAATGAAATGTTGTATATGCATGTTCGTCTTCAGGTTCAAACCATTTTCTCAGTCTTGAAGCTGTCTGTCAAATGTTTCTTGCTTACATAATGGTTATTTCTGGTGAGTCACTAGAATCAGAACAGAACAGATTTTGAAGGAACCTTGAATGTCTTCTACTCCAAGCCTCTACTCAGGCAGAAGACCCTATACCAATGATGAACCTTTTTTCCCTAGGGTGCCAAAAACTATTGCCCGTGCAGGTGTGTCCACATCTGTAATTAAATGCTCCCTACATTGTGCCTACCTGTGCATGCACACATGACCCCCCCCCTGTTGCCCCTAGCGCATACACATATGGTTTTCTTGGAGCCTGGGGAGGCTGAAAATGACCCATTTTCCAACTTCCAGTGGGCCTGGTTGGTCCATTTTTTGCCCTATATAATTTCAGACAAATGAAGAGACCAATCTCTTCTTAAAAACTTCCAGTGTTGGAGCATTTAACAACTTCTGGAAGCAAATTGTTCCACTGATTAATTGTTCTGTTAGGAAATTTCTCCTTAGTTCTAGGTTACTTCTTCAATGTGCTCTGTATGACATTACCTTTGAAGACTATCCAGAAACTCCAAAATGAATGATGCAAAATGAAGTGCCCATATCTTGTCCACTTCATGATATCTAAAAGGTAGATCATGATTGGCAAGGCAGTGTCTGCTATATTATAGGACTGTATCACACTATATCAGTGGTGGGTTTCAATTTATTTTACTACCGGTTTGCTTGTCCACAACGTTTCTGCGTATGTGCAGAAGTGTCTGGACGGGTATGCGGAGCCTCCCACCACCGCCATTACCAGTTCGCCCGATCTGGGGCGAACCGGCAGAAACCCACCTCTGCACTATATATAACTTTGTAGGTGGTAACAGACATTTTGAATGGAGCCTGGAACTGAACTGTATCCAATGCAGCAACCTAGAATAGGTTCAGTTCTACTGATTGAATAATTGGTTGTCCTGACTAAGAATGTAACCATCACATTTTGTATTAGTTGTACTCTGAACTGTTCTCAAAAACAGGTCAATCTAGAGCATGCTGGAAAGGCAAGGAGAAAGAAAGGAGGGATGGAGGAAGCTGATTGAACCAATTCTGCCTCTGAATATTGCAGTATGGTAACAAAATATATATTTTAAGATGAATGATATCATATGTTTTTCACAAAGACACATGGTTTTATAGTTATGAAGATTAAATTCACAGTGCAATTAAAACATAATAATTTATTAAATAAGGTTTTAATGAAGATGTTTCATATCCTCTGGAATATAAGCACTACTAACTAAAAACTGAAGGCATGTATTTTTGTATCCATGTAGCAAATTTTGACACTCTTGTATATACTCCCGGGAAATTGGGTCTTCCACAACCGTAGCCCCAACTAACAATTCCCATCAAAAACCATTTTCCGTCACCTTTATTTCGACATGATAGAGGTCCTCCAGAGTCTCCCTAAAAAGAGATTTTTTTAAAAAGTTAACAATGTTTACACAGCAATGTTTCTCTAGGTAGTATGCACAATAGTATTATTTTAGTAATAAATTTGTTGGTACAACTAATGATGGAAATGGTTTAATTGACAAGAAAAAAAACCAAATGTCATTAAAATAGATTGGACTATAAATTAATCTAGAATTTTCTATCAACTACTAATTTTCTATACTTGAATTGTATTTCTATGGCAATTCAGTTTATATAGAATGTGAAACAATATTGTTTATCACAGATTATAGAACCATTTCCTCCTCCACTATGAAAATTACTCAGTAGAAAATATGATCTAGATATTCTTTAAATAACTTATCATTCTATTAGAGTCATTAAGTTCATCTTGGCTGGGTTCGTTCATTCTGGAAGTTGTAATCCCAAGAATTCTGAGCAAATGTTCATTATGACATAACACAGAGAGAGGAGAGGAGAGAAGAGAAGAGAAAAACAAGTGGAAAAAAATAGTCTTAAGTTTCTTATTTTTTAAATTAGTATTTCATGAGTTGACTTCTCATTATTTTATGGAAATGACATACAATTTTCTTGGCGACAGTACAAAAGGGATTTTCCTCAGCCTTTTTTCTGAATCTTTTTTCCAGATTCCCAGTCTAATCTATAACCATGAATTCTAGGTGTTTCTCAAGTCTGTGATTATTTGGGAGGGGTAACAAGTATGCATGGCAAAAAAGTGAAATCCTTACTTTGCAGCTATCCCTTTTTCCAGACATTATTCCAGCACACAGCATGCGACTTGTGATAAGTCCATATGTTGAATGACAAACTGTCTGATCCACAATTTCCACCTCTGCTTTCTGTAAAATTGTTGGTGTGTCATCATCTGGATCGAGGAAAAACATAATAATGCAAGAAAATACATTTCCAGTATCTCATTTTTAATTTTGAAGATGATGATATTATATAGCACCATTTTATTGAACCAACAAACTGTTTCATATGTATTTATGTATTTTGTATGTCACAGCAAAATGTAGTATAGTGCATAATTCATAGAAACAGTGGTGGGTTCAGACCGGTTCAGACCGGTTCAGATGAACCGGTAGTAGTTTGGCGGCCTGGGTTGCTGGAATCAGCAGCGGCGCAGGCCTGCTATGCCACCGAACCAATTCTTCAGGCGGTGCTGCAGGCTTCGCCTTCTTGTTTTTTAGTTCTGCTCATGTGCAGAAAAACTTAAATTGCACTGCGCATGCACGCACACAAGCAAACTGGCAGTACTGCCTGCCACAACCCACCCCTGAAAACAACATATAAAACACCATAGCAGTGAATTATTTAAAGAGCCGTGGTAGTGCAGTGGTGCAGGCTGACTGCCCACTGCCACTGTTCAATCTTGACTGGTTCAAGGTTGACTCAGCCTTCCAATGTCGGTAAAATGAGGACCCAGATTGTTGGGGACAATAGGCTCTGTGAACTACTTAGAGAAGGCTGTAAAGCACTATGACGCAGTATATAAGTCTAAGTGCTATTGTTATTTTTAAAACACACAGTACAGGTGATGAATAAAATTATGGATTTTATGTATGCTTGGAATTTAGCTATTAGCTTACTGTTTCCTAAGAGTAACATCCTTTGAAGTCCAAAGAGCTATGTTCCAAGAAATTAATAACATGATATACTTTGGACTAGTAATTCTCAATCACTTTGGGTTCAGGTTCTCTTTATTTTCTTAAAAATGATTGAGGACACTCAAAGAATTTTGGTTTATGTGTGTTATATCTATTAATAGATAAATGTATTAGAAATAAAAATTGAAACATTTAAAAATATTTATTTATTTTAAATTTGTAGATTCCTTGAAATGTTTCAAGATTCCTAGAGGTCTCCAGACCACCGTTTGAGAAGCACGGTTTTAGAGCATTCTAAAATTGTTACATTATTTCATTAATCCACACAATAACCCCCTGTTGTAAAAGAGAGTTTAGTAGATAGAGTAATTAAAGATGAATTAGAAGACCAGGTTATACAATTATAAGGCAGTCTAGACTATTCATGTTGCTAATGATGATGATTCTATCGTGTGATTTTGAAAATAGCTTTCTGCTTTGCAGATTTCAGACACTGCTTAAACTGAAACATTTGGTTGGCCCAAGTTGTGGTTTGTGAAAAAGTAAACTATATCCATGTCATATGTAGAGAAGCTGGCAAATGTTCCACTACTGTTCAGTGTTGCAGGTATCCAGTTTCCTTTGTCCCAATTGAACAAGTTTACTAAATTTGGTAAAATTTCCAATGTACTACCTTTTTATATTATAGAATAATTATAAAACTTACAAGAGTTTCACAGCCTTGCCAGGAATTTTAAACGAAGACCTCTTAAGAATACTGAGAAGGCTGAGATTTGACCATCCTGTAAGATTTTGGTCATTAAAACAATCTTTAAAAATAAGTTTTAATTTTGGCTATTATGATCTTATTTAAGAATTGCTGAGTGCTGTGTGTGTGATTGCATGTGTGTATTTGTACTGCTATATGCACACATGAATATTTTCACCTGTGATTAACCTGTTGCCAATCCTTAGACTACAAATTTTTTTCTAACTTAGCCTCATCAGTATTTCTTGAAAAATTTATTTGGTCAGAATGTTTAAGAAATTAGATTATTGCAAACGTTTTATGTTTTTTCCCTTAGTATACCAATTTACAAAGAATCTTTAAAATTGTATTGATTAAATTTTTACGCTTGAATTTCTGAGGAGAGAACAGATACTTGGAATCACTGATGCTAGATGAGATCTTTATATCTTAATTATGAGAGACTTTGATGCTTTTACAGCAGATAATACTGAACAGAGTTTGCTAGTACATTGCATGTCTTACTTTGGTTTTAAATCTGCTTGCCCTCCTCCTAATTTCTTTTATAAAAATAATAAATGCATTTGAACAAGTATTTTTCTGGAAATTACATAGATTCAAAGATGAAAGTTTAGATTAAAAAGGCTGCACTGGAGAATAGAGAACTTACCAGAGAAATCTGTTAAAAATAGTTTCTTGAGAAATTTACTGTACAAAATGGGAAATTTGTGTACAAAAGTTTTTTATGATTAAGTAAACTGAGAAATCAAGAAAATGTATACTTTGATCTAATGATTTATCATATATAATAAACCAATTGTCATTCTATTAAGTGGGCAATAAAATGAATAGAATTTACATCTTTAACATGGACACAATGAAACTGAACACTGATTTTGGTATTTGCTGTTTTGGCCACTTTAAAAACTCCAGAAATAATTGTTTTAGCTCTTGTGTTTAAATTTTATCTAGATTCCCACTTTTTAATAATAAATGGTTTTTTTTAAAAAATTAAACATTTTTATTTATAACATATTTTAAGTGCTTCCAAGGGTTTCCAAAGGGAAGGAAGAGAGGATTAGAATAGCAAAACCAACATCAAGCCTTCCTCCTTTTGTTCTGTTGTAATACAGACAAAAAAAGGGCAGAACTGACCATATATTTCTCCAACCCTGCTACAATCATTCTAAGCATGAAAGCACCACTTCTTTCTAATGTTGCTGACTACATATTTTTCAGACTATAAGACACACTGGAGTATAAAACGCACCAAGATTTTGAAGAGGTAAATTAAAACCACCCCTCCAGGAGCACTCTGCAAACCCTCTGTACACCCCATTTTTTTGTGGAAAGGGGGCATGCAGAGAGTTTGAGAGGCTGCAAAGTGCTACTTGGGCTTGGGGAGGTCAAAAAATGGTCTGTTTTTCGCAAAATGGGCCAGGGTTTTTTTGCAAAAATAAGGAGGGCATACAGAGGGTGTGGGATGACTGTAGAGTGCTCCTGGGTACCGGGGAGGGCAAAAAACAGCCCATTTTTCATGAAAATGGGCTTGTTTTTTGCAAAAATGGACGTGCAGAGCGTTTGGGAGGACTGTAAAGTGCTCCTGGGGGCTTGGGAGGGCAAAAAGTGCCATTTTTGTGGGAAATGGGCCAATTTTTTGCTTATTTTTGTCCTCCCCAGTCCCCAGGAGCACTTTGCAGGCTTCCCAAACCCTCTGCACATCAATTTTTACAAAAAATGGGATGTGTGGGGTAGGGTGTCAAAAATGCTGTATTCAGTGTATAAGACGCATCCAGATTTTTACCCTCTTTGGGTGGGAAGGAGCATCTTATACTCAGAAAAATATGGTAAGCCCTTTGTTTATTGGCAACAAATGAATGAATGATACAATGCAGGAGGCTTACTTGTTTCCTGCTTCTGTCCCCAGCCTGTTACCCAGCATTTTTCTCCAGTATGCACATTGTGCATGGTGGGAGGTAAGCATATTGGGCCAACTGACCATCTCATTGTTTCAAGCCATGGGGTGCTTAATTGTAGCAGAGCAATGTCATAATCATAATTTTGACTGTTATAATATTCATGGACAATGATTCTCTTCAAGGTGGAGACAAATTTGGCTTTTCCTTGTGTGTGCATTCCCAAGTAAGCTGTCCAAATTCTAGGATCTGATAACCTAAATGAAAACAGAACATTCAAATATATATGACTGAACATTCACATATCTATGACATGCGATCAAGATAAAAGGTTATCATTAAATGCTTGAACTAACAGAAATGTATACCTACATATTAGTGCTGTTCTCCATTAGTGATCTCTATTTATCACAGGTACAATGCTAGCAAATGAAAAATAGAATTAGTATGTCTGTATGATATTCTGAGTAGGTTAAAAACAGGTTTTGTTTCTTTTTCTTTACTTAAGAGTTTAGATGCAGGGGGAATCACCTGTCTCTCTCTTTAACTAGAGAGGAAGAAGAGAAGAAGAGAATAGCTGAAAATTTCTTTGGAACTCTCTATAGACGAGAGAGAATAGAGGAAGAAGATATTATGCAATATTTTAAAGATAGAAATCTCCCTATAATACCAGATGAAATGAAAGAAATGATAAATGATAAAATTACGAATGACGGAGATAAAGGCAGCTATTCAAAAGCAAAAAAAATTAATAAAACCCCAGGACCAGATGGCATCCCCTCAGAGTTCTAAAAAGAAATACAAACACCACTGGAAATCTTACTATTGAATATATACAATGAAATGCTAGAGCAGGTAAAATTACTAAAGACCTGGATGGAAGCTTTGATAACACTTATTCCAAAAGATGATGTAAACACTCAACAAATCAAGAATTATAGGCCAATCTCATTACTCAATGCTGATTACAAAATATTTGTGACAATAATGGCCAAAAGAGCCAAAAAAATATTGAACAAAATTATTTATTCGGATCAGAATGGATTCTTGCCCAATAGATACATAAGAAACAATACATGGGCTATTATGAACTCACTAGAATACTATGAGGCAAATCTGGAAAAGCAGCTGGCATTAATGTTTGTAGATACCCAAAAAGCATTTGATAATTTAAATTGGAACTTTTTTATTAATCAATTAAAAATTATGAACTTTGGGTAAAAATTTACGGGTCTGATTAGAGCGATCTATTTGAATCATCAGACAGCGCTGGCTCTTGGGTTTTGAAACAGAGATTATCACTGCCCCTAGACTCAGGAACGACTAGCACATATGTGTGAGAGGAACCTTTACCTTTAGACTAACATTATTCCAGAAAAGTTCTAAATTCATATTTACTGTAAAAATGGGCTGTGTAACAGCTAAAACGAATGAAATTAACTTCAATATCTGTGCCTGTCCTTCAGAACATCATCCCCCTGAGATCTGGAGAGCCTCAACCCTGTCAGTGTTCTGAAAAGATTGAAAAATATGGTTATTCCCTCAGGCATTAAACTAGCATGTCAAGTGAGCCAATTGTACCACTGTGTAGTTGAATAATGTAAACTGCTTGAGAATCTCAGCTGCATTGTATTAACATTACAGTAATGTGGTTATTTTTCTCTTATAGTTATGTTTTTAGTTATTCTGTGCCACCGAGAGTTGCAGAAGCAACCCGAGAAATAATTTAAATGAAATGAATTGTTTGAGCAAGACAAGCAGATAATAGACAGATAGATATCTATTCCACTTTAAGTGACTACTGATGTACCAAAAATGATACACAAGTTAATTGAAATACTAAGAGAATAATACAATTTTTGGAGAGCTTTCAATCCATATCTATCTGCTTCAGAAAAAAGTGCAACTGAGGGGAAAGGAAGTAGGAACAAGAAAAAGGCTTTCTAAGACTAAAGAAATAGAGAAATTGGGACTTGAACAACTTGAAGAACTCTTCCCTATTTCTAAGTAACTAAGCAATTAGAGAAGTAATTAGAAGTTGCAACTTCCACTTGGGATCTTTGGGGAAGCATTTGTTTTGCACCCAAGGATGGTACTATTTGTCTTTCCACATGACAATGGATTTACCCTGCTGATTCTCTAGAAAGTCCTTTTATGCTAAGGCCTGTGATAATTGAGTCCTTTCAGTACACAACCCCTGACTCCTATATAGACAAGACTGTGGTCTTTAGCCTTGCAAGAACAAAAACTTCTTGAAATTTGATGTTTGCTTTAGTAAATGAGCAGGAAAATATGAAAATATCAAAGGCCCTTGACAAATATTGATATATGGGAAAAGTTGTGTGCAGGACTATAGCAGGCTATCTGTCTGTGCATGGATTTGAGTGTATGCAAGAATACACTTGAATGTGTGTGTGTGTGTGTGTGTGTGTATAGTGTTACTGTACTCATTTGTATTGCAGTTATGCCTCTGTGGTGCCTTTTCACATTGGGGAAAAAAGGAATCCTATATTGATTTATTATCTACACAAACTTGCAGACTCTGCATTGGCTTCTGAAAAACTTTTAGGGTTAATATACATGACTACATTCAGTTGAAGTTCTTGATGTCCTTATCTTTTTTTAAGTCTCTGCCATTTCCTTGTAACAGTGAATCTGACATATGGGGGTGGCAAAACCCTTCTATTTACACTAAAGAAGCTGAATAACCCATGAGCCACAGAGAATTTACAGGCTAATGTGGAAGAGTTAAGACTATCACATCCAGGCTTCAAAAATCTGCACAACCACTAGATGGCAACAAGTAGTTAACATTTTCTATAGTTGCTCTCATTAAGTGGTTATCTGGATTTTTGCATCCAGGAGATAGAAGCCCTAGGAAAGGGAGATATTGGAATGCTAAGAACAGTGCTTATTAAACTAGTTTTATAATTGGATGTTGGTAATGTCATGATTGCATTGTATGGCTGATTGTTGCAGATTAAGGGGAAAATAATAAACTCATTGTGCTCTACAAGAGATCACATGCATAATATGATATTAAAGAAAAATCTCTCAATTATAATAATTTTATCCACTTACCTGTTCCCCTGAAAACAATGGGCAGCAGAGAGAAGCCACTCCTTTGATATCACAGAGGCTCCACAATAAGCAACTCCAGCAAAATGCAAGCTGGCTTGCCAGGGCCATTCTCCTTCGTGGGTCTCAGAACCCCCCACAATCCGGTTGTGAGTGTTGCTGTATCTAGTATTGCCACAGCCTTTTGAAAGAATGTAACAATTTAGCATGGTTTTTGCCTAGCAAAACCGCACTAGCAACTGGTACCATTTACTTATTTAAACTGAATCAATTGCTATCTTATTTGTTTTGGAAAATGCCACACAGCATATCCAGAAGGGTATCCAATTTTTCAGGCTAATGGCAGGAGCTCTGGCTAATTGCCAGAGTCTATGATGGATGGGAAAAGGACAAGGAAGTACCTTGTGCCAGGACAAAAAGTCCTAACTCCTACGAATTATAATCAGTTAAAATTAAATTGACATCATTTTTTACTCTTTATGTGTTTAATAATTCCTCCTTTGTCTCACTAAAAATTACATGTTTCAAAAGGGCTCAAAAACCTTACCCTAGCAAGCAGTTCTGGAATCTCAGCCTGTAAACCCTGATGCATGAGACGGTTCATTTGTCTCTACTCTAAGCATTATCCAGCCACATTTCAGCTATGTGGCATAGCTAGAGAATATGTATTTAAAAACTAATGGGGGTGAAATTCTATAGAAGCCACTGCCTAGCATACACTTAGAAATTGGTTTGATCTTGTAGAAGACGGTTCCACCACAAATGCGCGCACAACAAAAGCACGCCTGACTAAACCACAGTGACTAAAGCGCGGTGATAAAACAGCGCGACGAATGAGCGACTAATTAGCCCTAAAGCACGCCAACAAAAGCGCGCCGACAGAGGCGCGCTGTAACGGAACCCTAAACCTAACCCTAAACCTAACCCTAAACCTAACNGGGGGGGGGGGTTTGAAGCAGAGAACGCTGCTCTCTTTGTTGTCTTCAGATGGCATATATGAAGATAATAGGATATGGGCTTTGGGAACCAATCCACAGTTGCTGACCTCACTTTTCAGAGGCACCATCAGATAAAAACTGGACTAAAAATCAAATGTTCCATTCAGCAGGAGCAGAAATGCCATCAAACACAGCATAGCTGAAGTTTCACAGTTCTGAAGTAAATGAGCAAGCAATACTGAACCTGAGCCAATCAAAAGCCCATCTTCGCTAAGCATGCCATACATTTCTATATGTCTGTCTATAATTAATTTCAAAGCTGCATGATTCTAGAAGGATGCTGGGCAGCTTAAGCTTTAAAAAGATTTAAAACAAGAAAAAAGGTAATGTATATTTGGTCAAAACACAGTCTGTATGTCATAAAAGGCTCCCAATCACCTACCCCAAGATTTAGGAGGAGACCCAAGTTTTTAAGAGGCCAGGAATATCTTCAGGGTGGGGGGCTAGATCTCTAAGGGAGGGGAGGTGCTATGGAAGAGAAAACACACTTCTTGAATCTCGAAATATGGCCTTGGTTGTTCAACAAAATTAAAAATGGATCAATAATGCCACTAGGTAGAAATCATGTAAAATATGTATTCCTCAAATAACCTGGTCCTATATCATTCAGGGCTTTTGGGATGCATAGAGACATGGAGAACCTTCCCATCAAGGAACAGATACAACTGATGGATTAGAGCAGCGGTTCTCAACCTGTGGGTCGCGACCTCTTTGGGGGTCGAACGACCTTTTCACAGAGGTCGCCTAAGACCATAGAAACTCTTAAATCTTTAGACTCTAAAGCGTACTGTGTCGTACTCTCTCACGCGCGCGCACACACACGCATGCACGCACACACCCACAAATACACATGCAAGCACACATGCAAGGAAGTAGGATGAGAAACGCAAATGTAAAAAAAATAGGGAGTCTATATGTGTGTGCCAAGGTGGCGCAGTGGTTAAATGCAGCACTGCAGGCTACTGCTAGATCAGCAGNCTAAACCTAACACTAAACCTAACCCTAAACCTTACCTTAAATTAAATCGCGCTTCCGTCGGCGCGCTATTGTCGGCGCGCTGTTGTCAGTGCGCTTTTGACATCGCGGTTTTAACGCCGCGGTGTTGTCGGCGCGCTTATTACGTTCGCGCTTTTGTCGGGTCACGGTAGAAGACAGCTACCTAGCTTCAGTTCCATGAAAAAAATTAACACATAATAATATATTATAATAGGAAAATACATGTGCTACTGCTATGTTTCATTTGGGTACTCTCATACAGGAATTCTCAACCTTTTTTTGTTTGTTGCTACCTTCTGAATCTCATTTATCATTGTGATGTCCCTCATTGCTGCTGTTAGCTGATTATTAGCTGTAAAAAAGGCACTTTATCATCTACACTGTTAATTAAACTAAATCAGGGGTATCTAGCCTTGACAACTAGATGACCTACAAGGTCCCTTCCAACTCTGTTAATCTGTAAAATCTGTAGATTTCAATTCATCTGGCTGGACAATTCTGGGAGTTAAAGTCCACAAGTCTTAAAATTGCCAAGGTTGGACACCCAGCTCTAAACTGTGGTCTCCTTGAAATGTTGCATGCTTCTCTTGGGATCATACGCCTCATGTTGAGAATCATGATGGCACAGTGGTTAAAGTGTATTACTGCAGGCTACTTCTGCTGACTGCTGGCTGACTGCAATTCGGCAGTTTAAATCTCACCAGGCTCAAGGTTGACTCATCCTTCCATCCTTCCGAGGTGGGTAACATGAGGACCCTGATGTTTGGGAACAATATGCTGACTCTAAACCGCTTAGAGAGGGCTGTAAAGCTCTGGTTAAGCAGTATATAAGTCTTAGTACTAGTGCTAGTGCTAGAGCTATCACTGCTCTAGTATATATGGCTGGAAGTAAATTTATGCACTTGGAATACTTTGAAAGTACAGAAAATTACTATGTGAACAGGCAATAAAGGAAATAAAGGAAAATTATCTTCATATCTGATTAACTTTAATTATGGGCCAGATGATCTCTGTCCTAGTGATGTGACCTGCAAAGTATATTATTTAGTTATGAAATATTCTTGGGAAGTTGAAAGCTAAAAACTGTTCTATCTTAATGAAATATTGAAAAGGAAGGTAGTCAATTCCAAACTTTGTTTGACGGGCAAACCTACCAATCTAAATATTAGAAATCAATATTAAAATTATATCTGTTTTAGAAAAATAATGAGGACTAGATCAAAAGGGCAATGAATATATATTATACATTATATAATATACTTGTCTATGTCCTTCAAATATACTTACTACAGTTGTTTTCATCACTTCGATCAAGGCAGTCCAAGATTCCATCACACCGTGCATTTTGTTTCCTGAAGCAAATCCCATTGTTGCATTTAAAAGTATTGCTTGTACAGGGAATGCCTAAAAAGTAATAACTGCAATGTTCAAACAATCTCAGTTGTCTAGAAGTCAGAACAATCATTCAAGATTTTTTTTTGTAAACACCCCTCACCCTTGGTATAAATATATATAAGTAATTATAAATTAACTAAACAAACCAATTCACCATCTGTGAAAGAATCCTCCAGAGCAGATTGTCTCAACCTTAGCAATTTCAGGTGTGTGGACTTCAATTCCCAGAATTCCTCATTTTGGAACTAGTGATTGCCATTACAGATGCTGCCCCTTTCACAATCCCAAATGCTGCAGTGCCCACATAGTTTTCTTGGCATTAGTAGAGGAATGATTTCCATTTCTTTTTTTAGAATGTTTTTTTAATCTTCCAACTTTACTGCTGTTATATTTCCTGTTGGGTTTTCCACACATTTGCACAACTCACTAGATCAAAACATGCTTGGTTTTTAGAAAGAGATAGGCAATCTCTATTACTTTTGTATATCAGGATAAGATAGATGTGTTGAAGAAACAACATTAAGCAACATGAACCTGCCAGTGAATTTCAAAGACAAGATTTGAACCAAGGGTTTCTAGATATTGTACATCTACAATATCTATGAATGTAGAAAGTGATGGGGCTTCAGTCTACAGTGCCTGCCATTTTGTTTGCCCCCAATTACAAATACCTTTGCCTACAAATCTACTGGTAATTTCCAATCTGCTACAGGATACAGAATGAGATATATTTAATTATTGTGGGATGAGACTCACTTTCTGTGCAATGTAATTCATCTTGACCATCTTTACAGTTATTTATTCCATCACAGACAAAAGAATGATGCTGTGTTAAGAGGTTGCTACTACAATTTTGGGGTGATATGTCTAAAAAAAACAAAGGAAGATAAGCAACAAATCACTTGCATATACATTACAAAAAAAGCAACCAACTAGAATTATTACTATATTTTAGATGTTGCATACTGCAGATACTTAACCACAAAACAGTTCGTCACTTTCATCGAAGCAGTCATTGATTCCATCACAAAGCTGAATTTGTTGAATACATAACCCACTGTGGCATTCAAAAGACCCAAGTGGACAAGCTAAAAGGCAAAAGGCGGAGAAACACTGTGATTTCAGGATTTCTATAAACTTCCTGTTCTCATATTAAAGTTCAAGTTATGAGAAAGCAAGCAGGAACTTTAAGAAAATAAGCCCAAATATAAACATGATTATATAGTACTCTAGCACTACTGTTATTAATTTCAAAGGGGAAACTGTCCTACGGAATATTCCTTTTAATAAAGTTGTAGTAATATTACTTTGAAGCTGTAATTATGAGATAATAGAACATAATAGTAGAAACTGAAACGTACTTATTTTCGGGATTCATTTGTAATTCATCTTTCCTCATGATATATACACTAAGAAAAGCTATATGGAACTTCAATTTTGATATGGGGAAGCCCAATGTATTCAAGAAATGTCCGTAAGTCAAGTATGTCTCTCTTGAGTATATTTATTTCCAATTTTCTTCTTTCTGTAGCTTTCTGATCTCCATTTCTATCCTCTAATTCAGTGGTGGGATTCAAAAATTTTTACTACCTGTTCTGTGGGCGAGGCTTGGTGGGCAATGCATGGCTTGGTAGGCCTGGCTTGGTGGGCTTGGCAGGGGAAGGATACTGTAAAATCCCCATTCCCACCCCACTCCAGGGGACGTTTAATGCAAAATCCCCATTTCCTCCCAATCAGCTGGGACTCGGGAACAGATGGGGGTAGGGCCAGTCAGAGGTGGTATTTATTGGTTCTCCGAACTACTCAAAAGTCTCACTACTGGTTCTCCAGAACTGGACAGAACCTGCTGAATACCCCCTCTGCTCTAATCTAAACTCAGTAATAAACTACATATCTTTCCATGGGTAAACGTATAGAGATTGAAAGAATCATAAAACCAATTCTGTATTATTACAATGGCTGTTCTCAAGTGGGGTCATTTGGATTCTGCAAAAGATCTTGACTGACATGAAAATTATTTTTTTCGATGTGTCATCATCTATCTATTTGAGACTGAGGCATGCTTCTTCCTCATTGTGGTCCTTCACATGAAAATGAGCAACAGTGGGATTTCCCTTCCCAATTACTCAGCACATTTAGTAGCATTACTCAGCTCATCTGTCCATATGTCAATGAAAAGGTATTAAAGAAAAAATACAAGTTAATAATCACCTCAAATGAACTAATTATCTATATTGTTATTAATAACGTGCAATTTGATTTTATACCCACTATATGTTACAGTTTTAGTTCTCGTGCTGTGCTAGATTTCTAAACCAGGGGTCTTACACCTTGGCAACTTTAAGCCTGACGGATTTCAAGTTAAAGTCCACCAGGCATAAAGTTGCCGAGGTTGGACACCTCTGTTCTAAACTATCTGTTGTGGCCCGCCAGTGGCCAGTGGAGCTGGCAGCAGAGTTTGACAGTGAGGAGGTTGGAGAGGAACATGGGCCAATCCTGGAGGTTGGGAAAGGCTCAGACAAGAATTCTGCGTTGGAGGCAGAGATGGGGCCAAGGCCGTCTGGCAGTTCTCAGCTGCCTTTAGAGCTAGACAGCAGTGAGGCAGAAGAACAGCTGGAGCCTGTTCCCAATGTGTGCATGCACAGAGCTGTCAGAAGAAAAGAACAGCTAAGAAATCAGGGTCAACTTGGGAGTAAAGCCACAGGTAGACAGTGAATAGCCCTTCCTATAGAAAATAAAAGGAGTGAAAGTGTAGTGGGCTTTTGCAGGAAACAATTCATTTCTTCGTTCATTTCTTTGTTTCAGGAGTACGAAGATCTGTCTGTGAATCTAAGAGACTCTGTGCCAAGTCTTTCCTTGCACAGCACTGCGTTTGGAAAATATTTACATGGCAGCTTTCCAAGCTAGATAAGGTCTCTTCATAAATTCACCTTTGAAAGACTGTTTCCCAGGCCTTTGCTGAATGTGAAGAGAGGAATTCACATTTGTTTAATAAAAGGGGTTTTGTCGGGACTAGGAATCTGCTTCATGCTTTTTGGGGAAGCCTAGGTCAGAACACTATCTAGGACTGCAGTTATAATTGCAGCACATCCATTGGGACTAACACAAATGAATCAAAACTGCCACCTGATCATCAAATCATCCCAATTTTAGCAGATTAATTTTTGAAACAATAATTTGCTGCCATGTACATGTAAATATCTTATGTCTCTATCATATCAAGTTTCCTTAATTATAAATGCTGGCTATTGAACCAAAGCTAAGAAAAAATATTATCTTTATAGTTGTATATAACAACTGCATGCCAGTAAGGGTTTCAAATAATTTTTACTGTCAGTCTTACGCTGGCTGATATTGTAACTCCCATATTCCACAAGAAAGGGCTGTTCAGAAAGCTTGGAGCTGCACTGAAATTCCATGTTAACCACCAAGTTTGCCACACGGAATATTGTTTGATGATCGATGTAATAGCCACAATACCTGTAAAATGGATTATATAAACTTATGCTGACCATCTCTTGTGAAGAGGTGAACACTAAAATATAGTTACAGTAAAATTTTGCATTGCCACATTTCTAAGTCTACATGCCAAAAGCTTCACCTAGCAGTAGATTGTTCTATGCAATGCTCTATTATTTCTTAAAGGTTTCCATGATTCTCCTTTGCAATCACCATTAAGTACTTTCTTCTGTATTTCCCTAACTGAAGACAGTTTTTTATTCTATTGCACTCCATGCTTATGCTCACTTTCTTTCATTTTCCTCCTGTCTTAATGTATGGATGAGAAAAACGCTAAGAATCAAATTCTCATCTTTCATCTAGTATAAGGTGACCAGACGTCCCGCTTTTGGCGGGGCACCCCCGCTTTTTGATGCATTTTCCCGCGTCCCGCCCGCTTTTTCAAAAGGCACGCTTTTTTTGGCGCTTGCAGCTCCCGCCCATCAGCTGCTGGGCTGGCTCAGCGTTCTGTTCTATGCTACCTACAAATTTAAGCCAGCCCAGCCTGCCGCTCACTGATTTGATTGGCTGGACTTCAGCCAATCAGTGAGCTGGCCAACCAGCTCACTGATTGGCTGAAGTCCA